GAAAAGAAAGAGGAAAAAAAAGGGGTGACCGATTTCTCAGATTAAGTATCGAGAAATCCGATTGATATCATCGTTCTTGCCGTGAAAAGATTACCTGATTGTTGGTGCATGCAAAAATGAAATAAAATAGGATATCCTCACCTACCTCGTTGACTCGTTGTTAGCTTGTGAAAGAACGATGGATGGTGAAAAGTCCATTTACTTTTAACATCGATCTCGTTGTATACGATCGTTAACTGCAAAAAAAAGAAAAAAGAAAAAAGAAAAAAGAAAAAATGGGGGGAGGGAGAATGGGCAAACGAAAAGACAAACCTTTCGAAACAAGAAAAAGAGTACTGGCCCTTTTTTATTTTTCTTACAACGACGACGTACTTTACGTACGCGCAGCGTATGAAAGTCAACCACCATATATCTGTACGTGAAACGTAATAAAGACATGTTTGTGGAAAATAATGTGTATTATTCGTGGTTCATTATTCTCGATAGATTGGAAAATAGTATTCAATACATATCAGTCAATGTCAATAACAATTAACTACCATTGACGTGTTACATACCTATTATGTTCTTCCTGACTGAAGTTAGTCATCAGACAAATGAATTATTAGTCACTTCTAGGAAAAGAAGAGTTTTTCATTCATTCATTTCGTTTAATTAGTTAAAACTACTATCAACGGATAGATAATCACTTTTTGTTTTTCCTTGTTAATTAAAATGAAAGAAATATATATATATATTTTATAATATTTTTTTAATTATTATTTAAAAATTTTATTTTTTTATATTATTGTTTTAAATTAACTATCATATCTATATTTATTTAAATATAGATTTATATTAAATATTATATTTTTATTTAAAAATTTATTTGATTGATTTAATAATGGATATATATTATTTTTGATTTTTGATTTTAATTATAAATGATATTGTGAAAAAAAAAATTTCAAATTCATGTCATTAAATGCATTCATAATTTGAAATGCATTTGAAATTTAGATAACTAATAAAATAGAAATATTAAAAGACATTTATATTTTAAAAATAAATGAATGCTAAAGTAAAAAATAATTTATTTGTATTATATTATATTATATTATATTGTATTATAGAGAAATTTATTCGCTTATTAAAAATAAAATATTATGTAAAGATATAGATTGTCTAAAATTTTATTCAAGATACGAAGACTACTAGTTTGATTGAGTTATTAAATTACTTATTATTGGATTATCTATGGGAAATTTTGAAGGAAAAATCAAGCAGATATGGAAATCCACACTGGAAAAAACTGATGATTCATTTGTTGAAATGAAACAAGATTAAAATAAAGTAAAATAACGAATTAAAATTTTGTTATCAATCTTCTATAAATAATCTCTCAAATATATCATAGCATCATAGCAAAATATATTATATTATATTTTCTATATCGAAAAAGTAAATTTCCTCATAATCAGAGTTCAATATTCAATGCAGCTTTTGAAACTTTTCTATCGAGGAGCAAAAATAACATTGTCATTTCGTTTACATTACAATCTACTGTCGGTAGCTGCTTCACTAGTTTCGTGTAGACATACAGGCATCTGAAAATATATGTATATACATAACCGAAGAAAACTACAAACGAGCAGACAAACGGATAGAAGCACAGGCATCGATGGTACGAAGAAGAAGGGGTACACTACGACAATTCGAGTGTAGTTTTCGGCGAACAGTGCGCGTTTGTGCCACCCTTTCGAGAATCTCGCGACCTACGGTTATATTTACCGCTCTAGTATCATTATTAAAGAGATGTCGAATTACTCGTACTATTACGTGAAAGTTATCGATGACGGTACCAATAAGGCAAAAACTTATAAATTTTTGAAAGGGTAAGCTATTATGCTTTTGATCGGATGATTTTTCGATTTTGCATCATATATCATGATCCAGTTTTATTTTTTCATGATCATTCATTTCAATCTGTTCAATCAACTGTCAAATAATAATAAATATCATCTCCACGTTCAAAATTGTCTGTGCAATTGAAGAATGTGAAAAGTTGTCACGTTATTAGAAAATTGTTAATAAAAAACAAGACGTTAGAGTGGAATACACGTGTTTTTCTACTAATACACGTGATCAACAAGCTGCTAATTTCTCCAGAAAAGATGATTTATTCGTAGGAATCCTACCCTGTTTAAGCCGCCGGAGGACACATGGTCTACATATGGTCGCTACAATCTTCTGTCACGTTTGCTTCGAGGAGGACTCTCCGGTTCAGGTGATATCTATCATCCAGCGAATGCTATTTTCAAGGTCCGTGCTCGGTCAATCGCATACTTTTTAATGATTGTCATTAAACCAATAACTTCTTTGACCGTAATTCACTCAAACGAGCGGTCTACCCGCAAAACGAAAAAAACCTTTCTGGCAATCCACCAACGAATTTTTCTTCTATTCTTTTCCTTTTTCCCTGACTCCTTAATAATCTTTTACAGCTCATTTACTCGAAGACATTCCATGGAGTGAATAACATCGCGAACGAAATGAACTCGGCAAAGGCCAGAATGAAGTAGGCCTGACTATGCCCGAATAATGTCAGTAGGGGGGAAATTTTCTTCTTTTTTATTCCCAAGCACCGTTTGGAACGCCGCCAAATTTAACTTTAACATAAAACGAACCCCCTCTAGTATACGAGGTACCGGCCATAACGTAGAACGAATTCATATTTTTAGTCCCGTTACTGCCAAGGTTGTTACCCAGTTTTCTTGTCGTTGCCACATTTCAAAAGTATCTTCCAATGTAAAGTCTCCCAATCTTTTGTTTAATGGCGATAATGATTTTCTGGCTGCAAAATATTATATCTAATTAACTTATTCGTAGATATATATAATACATGTTTTATGCAATTATAAGCATGTTTCGTGTACGATCTGATAATAACTAATGATATTATGGAATTTAAATGTAATACTAATGAAATATTTCATTAGATCTGGTTTAATTAATCGATGAGACACAATTAAATAATTTTTTACATCAAAAGGAATCATGTAATATTAATCACATAAACTTGATATTTTATTACATCTTATTTAATTAATCGATGAAAAAACTTAATTTTTAATCATTGAAAGGAATTTTATGAAACAATGTTAATATATTTTTATTGTTAATAATAAAAATAGATAAGATCGTCTGAATCTTAAGAATTAAATTTTGAAAATGCATATCGGTAAGGATTGCAAAATCAATTATTCTCTTCTGGCATATATATATACTTCTGAAAGTATATTTCAGTGTAAATTATTATGTAAGAGACAAATAATAAATTATACTTGAAAACAATGCTTTAAAAAATATGATATATAGATATAAATATAAATATATAGATATATTATTCTATAATCTTGATATTTATAATACAATTTTAAAGATAGCTATATTTATCTATCAAGATTTAAAAGACATCAATCAAAATTTATCAACGCAATCGTTGTTAGGTTATTGCATTTATTTATCAAAGAAACTGTATCATTATTTCATAGTTTTTATCCTTTGATTCACAATTTTGAAACGTGATAATTGAATATAAAATAATGATATAATGATACCTATTGAATACAATTCAGTTAGTATATTCTATTCAGTCAGTATATTAAGTTAATATATTCCAGTTTAATATATTCTTGTTATAATAAAAAATCTTATTATATTAATAAAAAATTAACTTGTACAGGAAACGATACACGTGATACTCAAAATGTTGGTACTTAAATTCTTTTTTATAATCAATATGTAAATCAAGACATTTATTAGAAAAAAAGAAAAAATAAAAATAAAGAATTCTTTTAGATCAACATTTATTAAAAAAAATATATATCTAATAATAGAAAATTAAGTACATTAAAAAATATTTAAAAAATGAAATATAATTACCATTATTTATTTATCCTATATTATTTGACTTTTATCGGATTTATTTGATTCTTCTCTCTAAAATTTAAATTCTATTAATATTCTAAAAGTTTAAATTTTTCATAACCAAATATATGAATAAATAAAAAGAAATAAAAAAAAATAATAAAATTCAAAAAAAATTTAATCAAATGCAAATGTTTATATATTTTTAAAGTTATTTGGTTATGAAAAAACTTAATTTTTTAATGAAAAGAAATGAAAAAAAAAAAAAAAGAAAAATAAAATTCCATTTGATACCATTCGTGCATATAAATGCATGTTTTAATATACAACATCCTTAGCATTTCGACGCATCATGACGCCGACGCCGTCGTTTATTTAGCGAGGGAGGAGGTTGTTTTCGATTCAGACATCTATCTTTCGAGAAATTTAGTCAGTATATCGCGAGCACTTCTGCATCGAGGACGGTTAACGTGTATGATTTTCTCATCTACGAACAAAAATTTGACATAAGTTTAAGATAAGTTCAAGGAAACTATACACATTTTATCAAAAGATTTATATGCTGTAATATAAACAATAAATAGTTAACAAATAATATACATAGAAGAAATGAAGAATCAACTTCATCAATTTTGCATTAATTTCCTGATAAAAAAATTATCATTAAATTGAATTTTATTGATCGACTTGAAAATAGAGAGGGTAAGAAATCTTTTATATATAACATTCACCTTGAACTATATGGCACATCTTCCAATCAATCACTCTCCTTCTCGATTTCATCTCGTTGAATCTTTCTTTTTTTTTCTTTTTGTTTATTAAATTATATATCAGCACAATTATACATTATATTATATGAAAATCAATTGAAAATTATCAATAATTAATAAAGAATAATTCAATGTTAATAATATAACAATGTGAAAAAAATGTGATATTTATTTCTTGTAGTTGCAATTGCATTGCTTTTAACGATAATAGAATATTTCTATTATAGTTCTAGGAAGCCATTCGATAATTATTATTGCTTTAGGTAATTAGATGATTGTTTCATAATTCAATAATGTGTATTGGACTACAAAGACGAAAGAAATATATAGTACATGTTAAAGTACATTAAAAATTTCGATTATTGCCTAGTTGTTTTAAGTTATATTATAATTAAAAAAAATGACAATAAATATAAAAATAATTTGGACATTTATGTATCTTTATTTTCGATACACTAATTATCAATACGCATATACTATATATAATTAATATCAAGGATATAATAGACTAAATTTAGGGGTCAATGCCTTAAAATAGAATGACACATCATCAAGGTTTTTCACTTTCTCATGATCTCCTTTAATGGCGCGATACCTTTTTATTAGCATAATACAAAAAATATGATGAAATTCACGTTCATTTCAAAAATAGATAAATTCAATAATTTTTTAAGAAGCTAATAAATATATTTCTTTATTTTATATTTACATGTATAATTAAATATTAATTAAATTATAATAATAAAATATTTAATAAATAAGAAAATTATAGACATATAACTAAAACAGTTTATGTTCGAAATATTAAATTTTCTTTCTTTTAAATATATTCTTTTTTATAAATATTTTCTAATGTGATGAATATTTAAAATAGACATAATAAATATAATATAATTATTTTGATTTAAATAAAAAATGCAGATATGAAGTTTCTCATATTTATCGTTTAAAAAAATTATATCCGACATTTTTAAAACTTTAGTTATATATAATTTTTAACTGATTTATATTTCATCACTAGTATATAAATTTTACATTTACCTTTAATAAGAGTTTCTTCTAAGAAAATCCAACAATAATATTCCAAACAATAAAATGAAATTATGTTCTTTTGTGGTAACATAATCTAACTTACTTCGGAACTGGAAAAAAGGTTAACATTAAATACAACCAAAGCGTTACGAAACTCTAATAAAAAAGTATATAATAGATCAAATAAGTTACATAGGAATGTATATAATCACAAAACAAAAACATTTAAGATATATGTACATATATATGCAATTAAATCAGTTAGTCATTCGTCTTTCGCATTCATGTCACACAAATGTTCAACAAAACGTTAAAGTAATTTATTTCAATTTAGTAATACTTACAATAGATTTGAATGCTGTGACGTATATCAAGGTTGATCCAAAAAAATATTTTTCCTAACGAGTGCTCAGAAAACCATCGAATCATGTTAAAAATTATGTGCGTCTAGAAGTTTCACGCAGTAAGTTAGGTGTCAGTGCAATCGAAACATATGGCGCCGGTGCATATTATTATGCATATTAACAAGTTGTTATCAAATCATTCACGATAGCGTTATATGTGAAGACGTTCTTATCAATTGATAGTATTCTAATTCATTAATTAAGTTAGTACATTTTAATTAAAAAGAAGATTCTAAAATTTTTAAGTAGTTTGTTAAGTGATATATTTTTATTAATTTTATATTTATATATAGTTTGGGACTTTAAGAACAAAGGATTTTATATAAAGCAATAAATCATAACTAAAACAAAATGAATCATTTTTCATATGGATGGAAACAAGAAATAAGTGAACCAGAATTTATAAAACAAGAAGCATCAAAGGCAGAAGTGAGTATTAGTATCAAGCTATAATTTTATGATTGTTAATTGTAAAGCAATTTTCTGTTTTGTATAATAAAGGCAAATATCTATTGCATCATTATGCAATAAAATTAATTGAAGCTTTTATTGCGTTTTTAAAGTTCAAAAAATCGCGCTTTTATAGATTAATTCATGACATATTTCATAGATGGTGCTATTTTATTAAGCCGCATTCACATCAAAATAATAGAAATAAATGAAGCTAAATAAAATCAAACATAAACAAGTTAGATATAATAACTCTTATACCGGTAGTTTGCATATAACATTTTGACAGTAAGGTTATGCTAAGAATTAAAATGTTTATATATTTTACATGATTTGTTTCAGTAGTAACAGTTTAATATGTAATAGTTAACAGTGTTGTGCTATTATAAAAATAAATTATATTGTGAAAAACTTTGTGCATTATTGTGGCATATAACCGTGTGACGAAACATAGGTGAAGGTAAGAGAAGAATGAGCTCAGTTCTCGTGTCTCCAGACCTATCAACATAACGGTTCTATATCCGTACTGTGAAATCTTGTGAAATAGCAGCATTAATATTCCGTTAATTTTCGTTTTGCAATCTAAATTATTTAACTTTACATAAAGCACGTGATATGAGCTAATCATGGATTAAAAAAATTGCCAATATTTATTGAAAATATCTAAATAGTGTGAAAAATAGATATTTAGTGATTAGTGGTGATCGCGGTAGATTAGTCAGGATTCAGGGCGTAACCATCGCGAAAAATGAGTTATTACGACGATAGGAATGGAGCTGTGCTTAACGATGTGTTCGTTAAGACAGCGGTTGAAGTCAAACGATTTCTCCCCTCGCTTTTCAACATCAAAGTGGTAGGCGTTTTTGAAACGTTTTGATAAACATTTTAGAACTTTAATTCGATATATTCTAACATTGACGCGATTAGAATTGATTATTAATAAAATCCTTTTCTTATTTAAAAATTCGTTGTAAAACATGTTTTCAATATTTTTGTCTATAGAATAGCGATTTCAAAAGATTATGCTGCGTATAATGTATATGTCGTCTTGCAAATTCTTTGTTTCTTTTTTGAGATAAAAATTACATATTTATATATTTGCTCACTAATACTTAGAAGTGATGAAATTTCATTTGCTTATTAGATTCTATATAAATATATAATACATATATCACGTTACTAATCTTTAATTTCATTTTTCAATTTAAAATTACACGTAATGCACTTAATTTTTTGCTATATGTCATACTATATAATGCTAATTTATCAATTATAATTTGTTTCACATTTTATTTGAATATTTTATTATGATGTGATCTATTATATTCTATGTAATTTGAGAAAAACAATCACGAATATTTTATTTTATTTTAATTAAATATACATTTATACTCATTTATATTTTTGAAAGGTAACGAATAAATATTCGGTAACAATTTAAATTAAATTATTCTGTTTATCATGGCATTTTTTTAAACGAAGTCAAGGCAATTTGCTTGTACATAAGTTTTTTGTATTATTGTTGTTATATAATATTCTTTATACGTATGATATTAAAGTAATTTAAAGCCGGATATTGAATTAAATTCAATTGAAATAATATTTCAATATGCGGATAATTTTCAATAAATAAATAATTTTTAAATTTATAAACGATTTTTTTTTCAGTAAAAACATATATAATATAACAATTATTTTTAATTAGTTGAAGTTTTTTCAATTTAACTTATATTTATACGAATTAAATAAAAATTTTCTAAAAATTTTAAAATGAAAAAAAATTTTATTTTGAAAAATATAATAAATCGCAATATTTAAAAAATTTATCAATTTATAAATAATTAAAAATATTTGAAACATATTTTATATTTTATTATATTATATTTCGTATATATCATAAATTCATTTGTATTAAACAATTATATATATATATATATGACTTATAATAAATGTTGAATAATTATTTATTTTTCAAATTTTTAATATTTTTATAATTTAATAATTTTTAATTTAATATTTTTAACATTGATTCGATTTATTGTTATAGAATTGCAACTGAAAATGATTATTTTCAAAGATAATGATACTGATTGTGATAATTTAATCCGTACGCATTTTTTATCTAACGATATGCTTACAGAGAATATGATTAAAATAATAATACTCTCATCATGCGTCATATATCTTACTATTCATTCATTGTGCATATAATAAAAAAACAATGTTAAAAGAATTTTTTATTATATATATATATATAAAATTTATCTGTGATCTTCAAAAGAATTTTTTTTAATATAGTTTATTTTAATTAATTTTAATTAATTTGATTTCATATAAATAAATTTTTTAATAAAATTTATTTAATAAATAATCAATTTTTATAAATAATATTAGATATAATTTTTATAAAAAATCATTTTTAGTAAAATGTAATTTTTAAAGAAATAATAAGTCTATATTCTGAAATAAAAATACGGTCAAATATTTAACATTCAGTTTCTATTTTTTTTTAATATCATACTATATATATGATTCATTGTAGAGATAGATTGAAATTTATTAGTAAGTCATCATTACTGATATTAACTTATTCAACTGCATGATTTCATGGATATTTCATGCCTAATAAAAATAGTTTTTTTTATCTTAATTGTATAGTTGCATTGATTTTATTAAAAGATTTTATTAAAAGATATATAAATCAATAACTATATAACTCTATGTATATATGTTATTTATATTTAATTACAACTGAAATATTTGAAATTAATGAATTTTTCAAAAATTTTTTTATGCAATATAAATGTGTTATCAAAGAATTTTAAAAGATGTCAATGCACAATTTGATGATCCGAAAAAATAATTTATCATTCCAGGGTTAAAATATTTTTTTCAATAAAACGATTATAGTCCATTTATTTCTGAATTTTATTTTTATAATTGCAATATATTTTGTTATTAAAAATCAATGAATAAAAGTACATTATATTACTCACCTAGTCGATCACCTCAGTATTAGACTTAGTAGACTTAATAATACACATTATGTGATTAATATTTGAAATAGAATTTTATCTTTACATATCTTTTTATATCGTATCAATACTTCGTAATCTAAACTAGATGTGGTTAGGCTTTTCATCCGCTTGTATTATGATAAACCATATATGATAAATTTATAGGTTTGCAATAACAGTTTATTTTCATTTATAATCGAGAGCTTTAGTTTCCTTGTCACAATAAAATTGTTTAAACGATCAACAGAATAATTATAGTTTTTCTTTTTTTTCTCTTCGAATAATAATAATTTTAATGTAACTTTGCTTATATATCAAATGGAACAAAAACGGAAATACACAAATTACAGATATTTAAATTATTTGCAAGAAGGTGTAGCGGAATTGAAATTATCACCGATATTAGAATTCAGCAAAAAAATCAATGTCGAAAAAGAAAATGCAATTCCTATTTCTGGTACTGTAAAATTTCATTCGCATAAAGAGCAAGGAGAGAGTACAAATTCTCAGCCAAAACCGACAAAAGCAAAGAAAACATATGAAAATAGATCTCTAAGAACATTTAAAAATTTTATTGGGAAATCTTGTTACAACGTAGGATATCTTGGAACTGTTGTTTAAAATTATCTTTACGAAGAAACAAAAGTTATAATTCGCATAAAAAAGTGTGCCAAAAAATATTGCTTTTGTTTTAGCTAGGGGAAAAAGGATCTGGCTTCAGGCCACGAGCAGTTGTTCAAGATTTTCAGAAGCTCAGGGAAGAATGTTTGTCGACGGGGACATTATTCGAGGATTCCGAATTTCCAGCGGACGATTCATCGTTATATTTTTCAAAAAGGCCCGACAGATACATAGAATGGAAACGACCTATGGTAAGAAATTTCATGTATATATACAATATTTATATGCAGAATTCAAATAAAATTTCAAAAAAGAAAGAAAAAGAAAGGCAAAAGAAGAGAGAGAGATTATTTTATAATTCATTACTAAATTATAAAATTTCAATATAATTTAAACAATTTCATTTTGTTTGTAAAGTATTATTATTAGATAGTTCGATAAAAGAATAGATTTGAATAAGATTTTTTAAATCATTTTACACTTTATTATAACAGGAAATCGCGGACAACCCTCAACTGTTCGTTGAAGGTTTTTCCAGATTTGATGTTCAGCAGGGTGAATTAGGAGATTGTTGGCTGCTGGCAGCAGTTGCAAATCTCACTATGGATGCCAATTTATTTTTCCAAGTAGTTCCAGAAGATCAAAGTTTTGAGGAAAATTATGCTGGTATCTTTCATTTCAGGTATTTTTACAATTAGTTGAATCATTTCAAAACATATGTTATATTTCACAAACGAAAAATGTTTATTCGTATAAATTTTTATGTTTTTTTAAAAATAGATTTTGGCAATATGGTAGATGGGTAGATGTGGTTATTGATGATAGATTGCCAACTTATCGCGGTGAATTAGTATATCTACATTCAGCTGAGAGCAACGAATTCTGGAGTGCTTTATTAGAGAAAGCATACGCGAAGCTTCATGGCTCGTATGAAGCATTGAAAGGTGGAACTACTTGTGAAGCCATGGAGGACTTTACGGGTGGTGTAACGGAAATGTATCAGATGGATGAAACACCTCCAAATCTATTCAATATTCTCTTAAAAGCTTTTGAAAGAAACTCACTGATGGGCTGTTCGATAGAGGTATTATTTGATGGACATTTTCTTAAATTCAATAATCGTCGAATGCACAAATAAAATAAGTTACTATTTTAGCCTGATCCAAATATATTGGAAGCTGAGACACCTCAAGGTCTGATCAGAGGCCATGCTTACAGTATTACACGTGTTAAATATGTAGAAATTCAAACGCCTAACCAGTATGGAAGAATACCTCTACTTAGACTTAGAAATCCATGGGGTAATGAAGCAGAATGGAATGGTCCGTGGAGTGATCAGTAAGTCATTAAATAGATTTATAGAGGCATTAAATTATAAATGTAGACTTCAAAAATATATAAAGAACTCTGAATTTTCAAAATTAATAAAATTGTTATACTGTTATTGTAATACTGTTCTGAAAGAGAGTATAATTTTTTTAAAAAGATTTTTATAATATCTAAGATTTACTTGGTAAATTTTGTTTTTTTTCTTGTTTAAAAAAATTATGAATATTGTTGAAACATGAATAAATATACATGCAAAATATTAATAAAATATGTTGTATGGATTATTCGTAAAAAAATCTTATGTGAATCTTATTTTAAATGAAGTATGAGGTAACTTATAGAGAATATATCATATCTTGTTTCACATAACGATTTTGAAGATGTTTAATAAAATGAACTTTTGCTTAATAGGTCTCCAGAATGGAGATTTATTCCTGACCATGAAAAAGAAGAATTAGGTTTGACGTTCGATATGGACGGTGAATTTTGGATGTCATATCATGACTTTATTAAATATTTTACACAATTAGAAATATGTAACTTGAATCCAGACTCATTGAGCGAGGACGATTTAAATGCTGGTAAAAAGAAATGGGAGATGAGTGTGTTTGAAGGAGAATGGGTACGTGGTGTTACAGCAGGAGGTTGTAGAAATTTTTTAGGTAAACATTCCTTATTATTTAATCTTTTAATTTAATCATTTTATTAATCTTTTTATTTAATCATTTTTCTGTTTCTATTATGCTGTTATAAAATAACAATGAATATTATTTTTAATAAATTATAGAAACTTTCTGGCATAATCCACAATACCGAATTACATTGGAATATCCTGATGAAGATGATGATAAGTGTACAGTTATTGTTGCATTGATGCAAAAAAATAGACGAGCACAGAGGAGAATGGGTGCAGAATGTTTGACGATTGGATTTGCGATATATCATGTAGGTATTTATATTATAATATATTAACGAATATTTCATGACTAATAATTTAAAAATATCAATATCATTTTATTATGAAAAACAATATATTGATTATAATGATTATATAGTTGGAATATCCTGAACGGTTACCTAAACCATTAGATATTAATTTCTTCAAATATAATGCATCAGTTGCAAGATCACCAGCATTTATAAATTTACGAGAAGTGACGTGTCGTTTCAAATTACCACCTGGTGTGTATTGTATAGTTCCAAGTACATTCGATCCTAACGAAGAAGGTGAATTTTTACTAAGAATCTTCTCTGAAAATAAAAACAATATGCAGTAAGTATATCTTTTTTTATAATGAGAACTTTATTGTAACAAAAATTTAAAATTTATATTAAAATTATATTTTTAGAGAAAATGATGATGAAATTGGTGTTGGAGAAGTTGATGATAGGGTAAGATATTTATAATTAAATATATTATATATAAGTATTAAAAATATCGATAAATATTTAATATTTGTTTTTTAAAAACAATTACTGTTAATAAATAAATGTATATAAATCGCACGATAATAGATTTTACACCACTTATAGTATTAACACATAATAATATGCAAAATACACACAGTTCAATTTATTTGTGCATTTATATATTGATAATATTTATTTAATATGCTTCAATAGTGCTTTTAAAAATATTATTTATTGTGAAAAAATATAATATATGTATATTATATGTAATTGCATAATCAACTTAATCAAAAAAAATTTAATCAATAATCGTGAATTCTAATTAATAATTGTAACAATGTTTGCATGTTGATATTGCTTGGCGAATAGATCATTAATCCTAAAGGTGCTGATGAACACACTGATGGAGATAAGGTAAATATTTGCATGCTCCAATATTCCAATATAATGTTTCAAATATTTTATAATAATTATTATTAAAATAATATACTTAATTATATAATAATAAACGTTATCATTTCATATTATTCATTTTCCAAATATCAATATTCCTATCTTTTAGGTTCGAGATGAACCAGAGCCAGATCGAAATGCAGAAAAAGTTCGAGAATTCTTTAAAAAGCTTGCCGGTGACGATATGGAAGTAGATTGGATGGAACTGAAGGAAATTTTAGATTTTGCGATGCGAAAAGGTATGATTATTTAAATTTTACATTAATTTATTTATATTAAATGCAAAATTTTTAATGTAATATAAAGAATAATATTGCAAATAAAATTTATGAAAAAAATATAATTAAGAAAATGTTATATTTATAATTTTAGCAATAAGTTATATAATCTTACAATTCTTTTATTTTATTTTATTTTATTTTAGCTATTCGCTTATTATTAAGAAAAGGTTTTATAATATTCGTAAAGCTTTCATAATAATGCTTTTTTGTTATTAATCATTCATTAGAATACTTTATGAAGTGACACGCAAATAGCACTATGCATTCTGGTTTTAGTAGTTTGTTAATGCATTGTTTCGATTAATTCATTTTCACCGTGAATCAATTATTGTGTGAATGCTAATGTAACGCACAAACTTCACTTTCGTTCACTCTTGTGCATGTTTCGTTTCTTTCTGTACACATAATTACTTCATACATTCTTCATACATAAATACATTTGGGTCCTTTAGAGGCAGAAATACATAAAGTGTAATTAAAGTATAATTAATTTATACTTTGTTTAAAGTTATTTATATTACAATATGTATATAACATAATGGTGATTAATAAATGACTGCTCAATTAAGATTTTTTAATTGACTCTTAAATTAATAATTTTACTTAACTCTTAAATAATTTTTAAATTTTAATTAATTTAGAGACGATAGAAATTAGTCAAATTTTTCGACAAAGCTTTTTTTGTAATGATATTAAATATATTATAACTGGCATAAAATAAAGAATTCTAAGAAAAGATTTATATTAATACAATATTATTAAAGTTTTGTGATCTTAAAGTTTTAACATATATCGATTGATTTGACCCGAATGTACATATGTAAAATTTAATGTTAACATGTAGCTGTATGTTACGGGTAGAACTACCACAGTCGGCTCGTCGTAGTGAAGTTCATGCCCCTGAATCTGTACAAGGAAATGGTTCGTTTATCGACACTCTCATCTCACTGCTGTGCGGCATTCTTTGTAATAATGAACAATACAATAAGACTGTAGGTAAGACATTATCCAGTATATGTATATACTTTACCCTACAGATCATTATTTCTTATATGTATAATAGGTAAAATTATTTCAAAACATTAAATTCTTTCATAGAAAAAGAATTGCTCGATTACTAAAATATTTTATTGAAAATATTAAGAATTTTTGAATATAAATCATAATTTTTTTTTATTTTCTTTTGATAATATTATAGCAAATATATATTAAATTTTTATCAATTTATCTCATAATTATAATTTTTATAATTTTAATGATAACGATTTGGATCTTGTAAATTTCAAATTTCTTTTTATAATTCATTGAAAATCGTTCAATTATTTAAAATATTCATGTGCCATCATAAATTTCTATCATTTTGATTAATAATTAATAATATGATGTATATTTATGATGTTTGATGAAAAATTAGATTCCAAAATAACAGTATAATATTTATTTTGGATAAATTATTATTTTCAGTGGTAAATTTATACCATATATAATATAATATCTCTATTATAAAAAAAATTAATTAATAATTAATGGAATGTTAATATATTCATATATAATTAAATTGACACATGATTCTTTATACGTTATACGCCATAATACAATTAATAAGATTAGTTAAATCATAAAATTATAAACGAACAAATGATGTTTTATTTTTTAATGAAAATAATATCTTTTAAAGTAATATAGTTTAAACATAAATCGATCAATCCTTTTTCTATACATAATTTTAGGAAGCGAGATTTGTTCTTAAATTTTATGTTATGTTATGTTACGTTTTATTATATTATCTAAAAATTTTTTAACAAAATTAAGAATCATTAAATATATCAAACTAAGCGAATCATTTTCGAATATGAAATTTAAAAATAGAGAATCAATAAATTGAATAGATTAAATAGAAAAATTATCATTTATCTTAACAAAATCTGCTTACAATTTGTAGAAAAATATTTAATAATCAGTAACAAAACATAAATATAAAAGCAATTCAAAAGCTTGAGGAACAAATAATTAAGTTTGTGCATGTGTCTTTGTCACAAAAAAGATATTTAACGAGCTTGGAAATAATATATTAAACTTTCATTTCAGAATGTAAAAATGTAGCTTTATTATAATGCTACTAATTACAATCTATTGTCATCTATTTATATTGTGTTTATATCTGTAGTGTCGTCGTCGTTTAATTTTAGCGATAATTCCTTATTATCTTTCTGCTTTATATACTTTATATTTCAGAATTTTATATTAATTAAAATATACAATGTAAAAAGAATAATATGAATTTAATATGATCACATATAATATCACACAAATGAATATCACAAGCGAAAGTGTTTTTTCTATTTCAGAAACAAATAATAAAGGATTCAGTAAGGATGTATGTCGTAGCATGGTAGCTATGCTAGATGTAGATCATTCTGGAAAACTCGGATTTGAAGAATTTAGACAGTTATGGACCGATATAAAGAAATGGAGGGTACGTTAATTTTCTACAAAAATAAATCATAAAAAAATGAAATTTTTAATTGAAAGACATTTGAGATCTTGTTTGTACTAGAAAATCAAAACTGTTAAAAATTTTACAAAATTTCTCTAAATAATAATATTAATAATTTGAATGAAATAATAATTATCTATTCTGCAAATAGAATAGGATTCTCTTAATTAAACAAATCTATATTTATTATTATAAATAAGTTATTTGAATAATTTTTTTTTATTCTAAAAATTTATTATCAAATATGAATAATTAAATATTTTATTTCAAAATTTTATTTTAAACTATATTATATAATTTGTATTATTTTTAATTTTTAAAAGATTAGAATATTGAGAATTTAAACAAATAAGTTAGAATATAATATTTCACTGCATTATCCAATTTTAATTTAAAATATAATTATAAAATATAACTATAAAAAAAAATAATCATAATTAAATTATAACATTAAAAAAATTAATTTCCAGGCTGTATTTAAATTATACGACAGAGATGAAACGGGACATTTAAGCGCGTTTGAATTGAGACAAGCATTAAATAGCGCTGGTTATCGGCTTAATAATCACATTTTAAATATTTTAGTACATCGTTATGGAACAAAAGATGGTATGATCACTTTTGATGATTACATAATGTGCGCAGTGCGACTTAAAACAATGATAGGTAAATGAATAAACACTAATAAATAAAACACATAAAATATAATATAGCATAATTAACATGTTTTTTGCTTTCAGATATTTTCAGAGAACGTGATCCAGATTTAACTAATACGGCAACATTCACAATGGAAGAATGGATAGAGAAGACATTATACTCGTAATGTAATGCGTATCAAAATCATTGATAAAAAGAGACAAATACGTCCATATTTTAAGAAACTTTTCTACTCGCTGATTTAATGTAAAATAAAGATTCAAGAAACATGTTAAATAGATTAAAAAAATATATATTTACAAAAAATGTTTTATACGTATGAATACGTAAAATTCTTATAAATTCTATTAACAAAATTTCATTTAAAAAATATACACAAAAAGGGGAAAGTATTATATTTAAAATTTTGCTATCTATAATATTTATCCATTATATTTTTTTTTTGGTATTTATATACCTGTAGAACCTGATATTTTGTGCCTTAATGTATTTTTATATATTTAAATTTGAATTTTTTAAAAATAACAATAATTTATTAAAACAGATGTAGAATGAACTTAATCTATATTTTATAATGAACTCTACATTAATTATTTTAATATTCCTTAAATTTATTATCATATTCTTCATTGTTGCATTTACAATGATTATATTTATTGATTGCATATAAGAAAATAAAATTGTAAAATTTGAAAATATATTTAAATTCTATCCTAAATAGAATTTAAGAATTTCTTTTTAAAATTGTATTTTTATTTTCCTTATATAAATATTGTAAAATATTTCTTTATTATCTTATTTAATGAAATCTAAATATAAATATATATATTGTTAAATTAAATTATTGAATGATATTATTAAATGATATTGTGAGCCAAATAAATTTGATTTTGTCATTACAAATAAAAATAATTAATGTTTATAAAAGAATATTAAAAACTCTTATACATTATTTTAAAATATTTTCATGATATAGATAAATCTGATCTTTGATCATAACATTTCTTTTTTAAATTATTTTTTTTTAGCATTGATAATTTGATTTTAAGATAATATATTATCAAATTATATTATATTGATAACATATTACCAAAATATTCAAAGAAAATATCAACGAATCAAAATTACATAAAACTTTTTCTACTAAATTAAAATTTTTTTTTTTATTAAAATTTTTAATAATCGTTTCAATTAATTGTGATTTTATTTTTTTTTATCTATAATAATATAAAATTTAATTGTAATCAACTATAA